GGAGGCTCCCTTGCGGGGCTCAATCCCAAGACCCTGGGATCATGACCTGAGCCGAAGGCAGACGCCCAACCGACTGAGCAACCCAGGCATCCCCGAAATTATATTTTTAAGTATATATTTTCTCAGTTTATGAATATGGCCAGCTCGCAACTTACTGTCCTTATGTAACTACAAGTTCTGAGGTCAAGTGCACTTCAGTGTACACACTCACGTCTTGCACATGCTTACATGTATAAATGTGAGAAAGGACAGGTAAGTGGCAAAACATCAAATTTATTAATTAGGGGAAGATATACATTAGGAATAAAATATTAAACTCAATTCTATGCCATTCTTATCCCTTCCTCTAATGAATCTCTGGTATCAGACTGAAACTGCACAGTTTTTTTAATCTTTCTTTTTTCCAGTTTGATAAATGGACAGACTCTCAACGGAGAAGAATCTTGACAGGCCTGTTAGAACGTTGCTCCCTGTCACAGCAAAAGTTCTGCTGTCGAAAACTTCAAGAAAAAATTCCAGCAGAAGCTCTGGATTTTACTACCAAGCTTCCAAGGGTGTTATCTTTATACATCTTTTCTTTCCTGGACCCCCGAAGCCTTTGTCGTTGTGCACAGGTAAAGGCAAAGAATCAGTATACAATGTTTTGTAGTGATAGCCTAGAAAATTCTAAAAGCACATATGCAAAACCAAGAAATAGATGAGATGGTCAATATGTGTAGTCTGTATAGTTTGAATTAACCCCGGTCTTCTTTGTGCCTCTGTATTTAGTGCTCAAAAGTAGTTGTAAAATGATGTAAGACGTCATTAGTGTCCACAGAATGGTATTTGCTGGTTGGAGAGACAAACATATATATGAAATGGTTCATCAGCAGAGTAGTCTTATACTGCATAGCATACAACTAGAAAACAATTTTAAATTGTATAGTGTAGGCTATTCATAAACAGAAAACCTCAAAATAAGGTACTAGTGGGGTATATACAAAGAGTACAAGACTAAAAGAGTTCTGGGGGCACCTGGGTGGCTCAGTCGGTTAAGAGTCTGCCTTCGGCTCAGGTCATGATCCCAGGGTCCTGGGATCGAGCCCTGCAGGGGAGCCTCCCTCTCCTCCCTCTGCCCCTGTTCGTATGCTCTCTCTCTCTCTCTCACTCACTCTCTCAAATAAATAAATAAAATCTTTAAAAAAAGACTAAAAGAGTTCAGAGTGTGTAGACTCGCTTCCAGTGGCCTTGGAAAAGGGGCTGACTGTTGTTTTCCTACAAATAAATCCATGGTCTATTAAAGTATACTCCCAATTCCTTACAAGGTAAAACTGGTAGCCATTTTGTTGAGAATTTTCGTAGAGTCTGGTAACACCAGAAATTACTTGTTAACACGTGTTCACAGATGTGTAACATAATTTTAGTCTTTAAAATTAAGAAAATGGGGCGCCTGGGTGGCTCAGTCGTTAAGCATCTGCCTTCGGCTCAGGTCATGATCCCAGGGTCCTGGGATCGAGTCCCACATCGGGCTCCTTGCTCCGCAGGAAGCCTGCTTCTCCCTCTCCCACTCCCCCTGCTTGTGTTCCCTCTCTCGCTGTCTCTCTCTCTGTCAAATAAATAAAT